AGGAGTTGCCCCGCCGAGTACACCTTCAGGACTGGCCCCGCCGAGTACACCTTCAGGAGTGGCCCCGCCGAGTACACCTTCAGGAGTGGCCCCGCCGAGTACACCTTCAGGAGTTGCCCCGCCGAGTACACCTTCAGGAGTTGCCCCGCCGAGTACGCCAGGTCCAGCAGGAGTTGCCCCGCCGAGTACACCAGGTCCCGCAACGGCCTTGAACAGTGGTCTTTCTCGTGGTTTCAGCACGGAAGCACCGAGCACAGTGGGAAGCGACGAGGGTGTGCAAGCAGAGGACCAGGAGACCGACCAGAGCAAACAGGTCGTTTGATTGCAAGTAATTTTTTTGTGTGGAATGTGCGGCTTGCATTGAACATACACCTATATACTTAGGCCGTACTCAATGCAAGAGCGGCCTTGAGACGCTGCTGCTCGAATTACAACCGGGCCAGCTACGAGATGGTGAAAGCTTGGGAAGCCAGGGGGACAACCAGGGAGAAGCTCTTGAAGCAGTGGATGTCCTCGGGCCAGGACATCGCAACCTGTACCGTCGAGCTCATCACTTCCGAGGAAACGGCTGAGAGCTTTGGCTTCATATATTCGTGCCTGCCGTGTTTTGCTTCATGTTCTCTTGCAATCTGAATTCTGAGGAAAAGTTCGGTGGTTCAAGACTTCCTCACGCCGGAACAGGTGCTGCAGTACTATTGCGGAAACGAGGAAAAGGCAAAGGCTGCGATGATTCAGGCCGAGATGGACGGCCGCATCTCGGACCCCGAAAGATGTGCATTCCGATGAAAGATCTGTTGGAGATTCTTCACAGTGACATTATCCTAAGGATCGAAGCAGGATCCGAACCTGCGAAACCTCGCAGGGGCAAGAATCTATCGTTTGATGACGAAAGACAGTCTGCAGGACAGTTGGGAGAGGAAGGAGCTGACCAGGTCCAGGGTTGTGCCCCTGGCACAAGACAGCCGAGCAGAGGCGAAGGATCTTCTGGCTCAGCTGCATCCCTGCTGCATGCAGATGCATGTAGCATATCCTAAAAGGTACCTGTCTTAATTCTGACATATCCTGAGGCAGGGCTTTGCTCCGTCACAAAGAGCCATCCTGGATGGCTCGCCCTCGACACCGGCGAGTACGGCGGCACCTGGGACACCGGGCGGGCCCGGCAACGCATCGGCAGGTGTCGCCGAGACTAAGGCAGGTGTCGCCGAGACTAAGGCAGGTGTCCCCGAGCCTAAGGGCTCTGCCAAGTCGAAGGCTGCAAAGAGCAAAGCGCGGCCAGGGAACCCGGTCGCCGTGTTTGATGTCCGGAAAGCTAAATTATCTCAAGTCGAGACGACGGCTTTTCCGGTGGTCGATCGTGTCGAGACTCGGAAGATGCTCGAATCAGCGGTACTGGCGAAGGCGGGGACCATAGTATGTGGTTGCCATTGGATGCTCGTTTATTTGCTTCTTTGAGGCCGGCCAGTACGCCAAGATCTTGGTGCAGCTCAAGGGCCATGAGGCCAGCGGGAAAGCCTT